CAAAGCCACCAGGGTTACTCAGTCTTAAACTGGAACGTCCAGAACTGTGAGCCAAAATAAACTTCTTCTCTGTCTATATTGATTGCCTCAGGGTTTTTTTAATAGTAATGGGCAGCTAATTAACATTTAAACTATAGTATTGGATAATGAATACAAAGCTCTTAGCTTTGCATTCAGGGGCAAGGCCAAATGGGAATGTAGGTTTCTATCCATGACGGCTCATTTTTTTTATAACCTCATGAAAGGAAGACTTTAAAAAGTCTAAATAGATTATTGTGACTTGTATGCTTCTTATTATCCATGCTCTTGTCTATTACCTCAAAGTGTGGATCAATCAAAGCAAGCATGATTTCTCTCCACATAAATCATGCTGCCCTTTCTCCTCAAACTGCAAAATCTGCTGAACAGTTCAATGAACCACTATTTTACTGTGCTCACCTTTTCCTTCCATCCCTGGACTGAAACTTGGCACTAGCAATTACCCTGGACCTCTCTCAGCCATAGCTGTGAATAGTTGGTAGAATCTCGTGATCTCTACTTCATCCACAAGTTACTTTACTTCAAAATTCATAGGTAGATGATACTGCCTTGTAATGATACATCTATCACTAGCCAGCCAATGTTGTTAGAGCATCCAGTCAGTCCAGTCTAGCTAACTTCATGGCAATTTTGGATGAAATCTCAGAACATCAAAGAATGTTAGTGTTGAGAGGGATATTCACATCACCTAGCCTAACTCCCAGTTTTCTAAGTTTGGAAACACTTAGGCTTTTCATCTGTGAGTATGAATTTTGATCTCAGTTACTGAAGGTTGCCAAGGATTCTCTGTCTTCCTCCTTTGATAATATCGAAGAAGTTTTAATTCTGACTTTGGAAACCCTTGAAGGTATTTTTCAAATTATTTCTTACCACTTCATTTATAATAAGTAGTAGCTTATTTTCCGACAGAATTTGTGAACACAACTGCAAAATATGTCAACCAATGATAGAACTGAAAGGAGAAATATACAAATCCACAATTATAGTTGGAGACTTCAATACCCCTCTCTCAGGAGTTAGTAAAACAATTAGACTGAAAATAAGAATGGATGTAGTGATGAATTTGCATATGCATGAAGAACTGTGTCATATTTTGGAAATAGTATTTGGACTTTCAGAATTGCTTGTAAATTTGCTAGCTATTGCCTGAGCATCATTTTGCTTTCAAAACCTCTCACAAATTTACTGTATTCTTGTTCTTTGAAATACAGTGATGTTCTCAAGTGCCTTACATTTATTCTTCCACTCATTCAATAAATATCGATTCCTGTTACAGTCAAAACACTGCATCAGGTGTTACAGTGGATGACACTGTTTTTGAAATGTTTAATAATTAAATTCTCCATAAGGGGGGATATTTGACAGTAATATATAGTATTAATAAAATAAACTTTAAAAGCTGTAGGATAATATTAGGCTGATTGGTCTGCCATAATAAAATACCACAGACCAGGTGATTTAAAGAACAAGAATTTATTTTAGGGATGGGGATTTAGCTCAGTGGCACAGGGCCTGCCTGGCAAATGTGAGGTCCTGAGTTTGAGTACTGGTATCCCCCCAAAATTATTTTATCACAGTTCTAGAGGCCAGAAGTCCCAAATCTAGGTCCCAGAAGGGTTGATGTATATGGTAAAGGCTCTTGTATATGACAACATTCTCACTACATCCTTATATGGCCTTTCTTCCGAGTTCATGTAGACAGAGTAAGGTTGCTTCATCGTCTTACAGGTCACCAGTCTGATTGGATTAGAGCCCCAAATTTATTACTTCGTTTAACCTTAGTGGCCTTTTATAGACGCTGTCTCCAAAGCAGTCACACTGGAGTTTAGGGCTTCAACATATGAACTTGCAGCAGGGCACAATGCAGTCTTTAGTGAAAATTAAATCAGTTAATAAGCATCCTTTATTTCTTTCAGAAGGAAGAGTCTTACAGAATTTAAGTTCTTGCCAATATGCTGTTGTTATATGTAAGAAAAATGAGGAAAGAGAAAGAGAGACAGAGACAGAGACACAAAGAGACTTTTCTGAGGTTACAGTAAATGTAGAGACAATAGCAGAAACCAAGTCTCTCAGTTCACCCCCGTGCACTGTCCTCTTGGTCTGCCCTGGGGCACAAGAGTTACTGCTCCACAGCACATGTACAATTCGGGCCAGCAGGAGTCGTTTCTACCCTGTTGTCATGGACTCTTCCTGCTTATCCTCCTCTCCCTAAAGCTCCCTCCTCTCATTCACCAAAATATTACAGCAGAGCCTCCCAACTCCGAAATCTTCCCAAGCTGGCTTCCTCTTGTCAGTATGGCATGTATCGGAACTGCCTTGGGGTTTTTATTATCCTTCATAATTTGGGCCCTATGTAATCTGAACATAGACTCTGAACAATCTGATGCCACTGGACCAACAGATAAATGATTCTTCTTCCTTTACCATTTGTCATTTGAAGGGAATCATTTTTTTTAATGAAGGTCCACCAAGATCATTGCTTTGCTTAGAATGTGGACCCTGTTGAAGGCATACTTCCTACACGTGATTGCCTTTTCTTGTGCCACTTCAAGCCCTCCTTCTTCATGACTTGATGGCTGATGTACTACAGAAGACCTTAAAAACTGGCCAGCAGACCTGGCAAGCCATCAACCCCTCTGGTTCAGTCTTTCTCATTCACAGAAAAAGAATCTCTCTGAGAGACAGAATTTGATTTCTATCCACAACAGGTATTTTAACTTCAGGGTGATTACAAAGGTGTGGTTCAAGTGCAACAAAGGAGAGAGCAGTTTCCTTGCTGCTTTTTCTCTCTCTCTCTCTCTCCATCCCTCCCTCCCTCTCTCTCTGTATCCCTCTCCTTCTTTCTCTCTCGCCCCTTTTCTTTTCATTTTTCCTTTATCCTCTCTTTTTTTCTTTTTCTCCTAGATTTGTAAATCCTTAGGTTTGTATTATTTGGACCACCCCCACTCTTTTGTAACTGGCATTACCACTACCACATCTGGCCCAAGACACCACATTTAGTTGACTTATTGCTTGGTTAGCTGGTTATTTTGTTGCTCAGGCAGTTCACTAGGTAGATTTTTCTGAGCATAATGTTTGTTTCAATCATAAAATCTCTGACTTTGCTGTGCTGATTCTTAAACTCTGGCTGCACATTAGAAGAGTGTCTTACAAAATACTTTGCGTTGGCCTCACCTTCACAGATTTTGATTTAATTTGGCCTTGGTTTCAAAGCCTGTGCAGGTGATTCTCATGGGTATCTAGAGTTGAGAATCTCTAGTTAGAGAGTTAAAAGGTTGCCCAGGCAACCACTGATCTGATACTCAAATTTCTTCCTTTGGGAAATGTAAAATGGTGACTCTTTTTCAGACAATTTTCCTGGGTATACAAACTGCATTACTACTACAGAAAGAAGTGGCAAAGTAATGATTAGCATTAGACCAGAACCCTTCCTCTAAACTTCAGCAGTACTCATGGGTTTGGAAGTAGCTCACTGGCAGAGCATCTGATAAGCATTTTGAGGCTGAGTTCTATAACCAGCATAAACACACACACACACACACACACACACACACACACACACAGGATTCAGCAGCAGGTGGCACTTCCTGAGGTCAGGGGACTATCCTTAGGTCAGTAGTTTTCAGTGAGGAGACATTTGGTCCTCAAGGGACATTTAATAATGGCTGGGGTTATTTTTGGTCTTTACAGCTTGGAAGAATGCATTTTAGTGTGTGGAGATCAGGGATGATGGTAAACATCCTCCAGTTCACAGGACAGCCCCTATACAAAGAATTATCCAGCACAAAATGTCAAAAGCAAAGAAAGCTGGGAAACTCTTTCCTAGATCCTTGCTCTGAAAGTCTCTGCCCCCACACCAAGAAAAAACATTTTGAGGGAATTAGTTCTGAAATATTTCTATCTTTCTGAAGAACAGTTCCAAAGGTCTTTTTCAAATCCCCCTTTTACTTGCATTTTAAGTAGTCTCAGAATGTGATGCTCCTGCTTTGCTTTTAAGAAATGAAGTCTGTTGTTCGACTGTGTATGTCAGAGAGGCAAAACCATCCCTTTTCCATTCGCAGCTTCCTTTCCCATCTGGCTGTGCTTCTGAATTACAGAATGAACCAAGCCACAGGACCAGATGGAGCCCTGCCCAACCGGCCTCCACCAGGTGCTGCAGTCAATAGAGGCAGCCCTGGGTGAAGGTCACTTCTCGAGACATGCACTGGGAATGCTGGAGGCATCAGCCACCAGCCTGGGCAGGTCACACCTACTGCCGTGTTGATTAATAAGTGCTGGGCTGACACTTTGAGTGGAGCCTGAACCTGCTGACTCTTCTCTCCACTTCTTTAGATCAGTTTATTATTAAATTAAAGATTGTTGTGATTTAAACGGAACCGTCAGGCAGCCTGGGGATAAAAGCAAAGTTTGGTGCAGAAACCGAATCTGGTACTACATTTACCAAATCTAATCTCAGCTGGGTGTGTTTTCTTTCTCTTAAAGAAATAATTCAAAACTCCCAAGGCTGGAAGTAGAAGCAGAACCTTCCCCTGTGGTGTCAGGAGCCCACACAGAGAGGCTGGCATGCCAGGAAAGAGAGCTGATTATAAATAGCATGAAGAGCAGCATCAGTCAACACTCACTGATGTGCCTGAGCAAAATGTTAAAAGAAACAAATAGCTTCTGCAAGAGGAAGCAATGATTTCTCGTTATTTTTACAATTGAAAGTGCAAAGGAACAAAGACGCTTAAACATTAATGTATGTTGACACACATGTGAGCACACAACATACACACGACATGCATACACACACACACCAACAGAGCCCCTTTAAAAAAGGATAATCACTGATTTTAAAATAACAAAATCACAAGTAGTGCAGCTGTCCTTTTTGATGTAATGTAATGGATGCTACTTATTGAGAAAGTCTATGGCTTCCCCTTATGAAATAATTTTCCCGTGTGTGTATTTTTTTTCTCCAGCTTAGATGGAAACCATTCGAGATTCCAAAAACCTCTCAGAATAAAGTGGACTTTGTGAGTGTAAGTCAATACTCTGCACCTTCCCTCTGCCCACCCCTTCTCTGTGGTGAGTGAGCTGACCATTTGCAGGCCGAATGCCAAGCAGAAGCAGCCTGATCAGGAGGCAGCAGAGACAAAAGCACCTGCATATGCCCTGGGGCCTGGCCAAGAGATGTCTTACTTACAGGCACCAGACAGCTCCTGACACCAAAGGGCACTCTGGAGCTATTTACATCTTAGAAAGACCAGTGGAAAGCAAACATTTTCCTTTTTTAATCTCCCTTTCTTCAGATTAGAACAGAGGATCTTAACTATTTTTGCTTTAAGAGCTGCTTCGATAGTCTGGTGACACCTGTGTTTTTAAATGTAAAACATAAATTACATTAGATTACAAAGAAGTCAATTATATTGAAATACAATGATAAAGATACCCTTAAAACAAATTTTGTTTGGCGTGTGGTCATATATTATAGGTTTCCCTTGTTAATGTCCTAAAACAAAGAGCTATGGAAAATATAATAACTATGGTATGAGTATAAATGATATTTTGAGATATCTGTAATATATGTTACAAAAATATCCATGATTTCTGTCACTGGTAAAGTTATGGACACTTCTGATACTGCTGTGGTTTGCTGCCTGCATTCATATAAGTCAAAGAAAAATATAAATTTCTCTCAGAGATTAGTGAAAATAAATATGAAATGTTTCTCATCCAAATTCATGAACCCCTTGAACTGGGGGTTAGACTAGGCTCGAATAGCATCAGCTCAGGGCAGTTCTAGTTAGCATGGTGGTGGCAGGCAGCTCTGCCTGATAGTTACAATTCTGGGAATACTGAAACACTTGTGCACAGAATAAGGGCTATGTGGGTGAAGGAAAGGAGCTAGACAAAGGTGAGGTTAAAGGAAGCAGAGGCTTCTGCAGACTAACGCAGCTCATGGCTTACTGAGGGACAGTCCATATATCCAGGGATCACATTGTTAAGTCATCTCGAATTCTTTGTTCTTACTAAGTGCTCTAAACCTTATACATATTCACTTCAATAGACTCCACATTTGCAAACAGTTAAAATACAAAGAGAAACCCATCCTTCCTGTATGAAATACAGATCTCTGAGAAGCAGGGCTTCCTTCTTTCGGGCTTTCCCTCTGTACGTTTGGGTGAAGGCTGTTTTGGCAAGGTTCACGTTAATGGTTTCTCACACAGTGGATCTTCTGGTCGCATAGCTGAGAGAACTAGTCAGCCAGAATGCATTGTGCTGGGGAGATTAGGCTGACCCTCTTTATGAGCAGAGGGTCGTCCACATAGTGGGGTGACCTCGAAGGTCATTAACTGTCTCCTAAAGCTGCATCCTGCCTCCCTGAACCTCCAAGATATCTGATATCACCTCCCACACAATCTCTCCTCCCAGCTGAGTTTGCGCATCAAACTACTAAAAACATCACTTTTGAATTCTTTTAAAGTATTAAATGTGTGCTTTGTAAATTCATGTAGCCATGATGTAGCCATTAAGACAATCCAGATTTAGGCCATGGCTGTCAATGAGAGTGAGACAGCCCAACAAATATTCAGTGAATTCCAGGTCCCCCAGAGGCAGTCTAGACCCCAGATATCCCACTGGTCCCAGAGAGAGAATTGTGCTAGATCCTTGCCTCATGACATCCCTCAGGGGCCGGAGGGAGGGCTAGTCTCTTGGGCGCTACCCGTATTCACCATTCTCTTCCAACCCAGGGTCTGCACACTTTGTGTGGAGCTGGAGACATCAGGTCTAACAATGGACTCGCTGTCCACATTTTCCTGTGTAATAGCTCCATGGAGAACAGGTGAGTAGCATAGTTCTGGGGCGGAAATCCCCGTTTCCCAGAGGCTGTTGGCCAGAGGATAAGAGGTTCGCTTTATAAAATCACGTATGTACATACGCTGTTGTTCTCATTGTTGTGGTTTTTGTCTCAGAAGAGTATCAATATATATTTATTAATAATGTTAATAAGCATTTCTATTTTGATTAACTCTTATGACATATACAAGAATGTAACAATACCAGTGCAAAGAGAAAACTGAGGATGGGTCCTGGAATAAAGTGTCCTAGAGACACTTTGGCTTTAGGTAGGTTTGAGTTAAAATATTCTCGATTTCTAAGGTCCCTCAGTCTTGTTCTGAAGGGTAAAGTCATACTGCACCAGCAGCCATTAAGGCCACCTGGTGGCAGTAGGTCAGGCTAACAGCACTGGCTCTGGGTAATAACTTTGTGTGAGCTTAATGTTTCTGAGTAAAAAAGTTTATGTGCTGGCTTTTTTTTAAATTAAAAAAAGTAAATGGCGTTCTTGCCTTTCTTTGAGATGAAGACCATCATAAGAGCTTTGTGCATGACCTCTGAAACCTTGATTCTGTCTCTAAACCTGAACTCCAGTCTTGACAACTGAATAAACGGTGTAAGCTATTAAACTTCTTTGAGCCATGAATGAAGACCAAGATCACAGCCCTATGCCAAGTCAGTGGAGATCTCCCTTTGGGTCCAGTCCTCTATCTGGGGACCACCTCCCCTCCACTCAAGCTGCACTGGCCTCCAGTCACTTCTTTCAACCTGCCACGGCCTTTCTTGCAACAGAGCATATTTGTATGCTGTTTCTTTTATCTGGAATGTCCTCCCCTTTTTCCTAGATAATACCTTCAGATCTTGGGTCATATGTCCCATCTTTAGGAAAGCCCTTGTTGTTTTCCCAGATTAGCACAGGTTCCTCTTTTCTCACTCTCCCAAACTTGATTTACATAGTGCCATTACTGTTTGCTATGATACACAATTCTTATGACTTTCTGGAGCAGTTCTGGAAGTCCCCTTCGTGAATGTCTTTACAGTGTAAGGTGTGATCAAAAGTACAGTGAATGCTGCCATCAAGGGCCATCCAACAGAAAGACAGGCTCATGAAAACATTTCCATGTGTCCTACCTGCCTTATTTACCAGATCTAGAACCCTGTGCTTTCTGTCTCTTCCCCAAAGGCAACCATGAAAGATAAATATTTTCAATTAATTCAGGACATCAAATACAACTAGAGGTACTCATGAAAGGAGATTTCCAGAACTGCTTCAGAAAGTGTCAAGGATGATGTGTTTGAAGTAAGGAGGGTATACAGAGGAAAGGTTAATGTCAATGTGTATTTTACTATAATCATTTTTTTAAAATTTTTAAATATTCACTGTTGCTTTTTTTCTATCATACCTCATAGTTCTGAAATCTTGTGTTGCTCTATGAGGGCAGAGCCTGGGTTGTTCTGTTCGGCATCTTATGCCCAGCACTGAGCCTGGTACACAGTAGCCCTAAACAGTAATTTGCAGAATGAATTAATTTACCTAGACAGTGTTAAAGCTGAAAATCACAAGAAATACTCTATGTTTCAGATGCTTCTACAATTCAGATGGGGATTTCTTGATTGGTAAGTTCTGAGGATTTCAGACTCCTTGATCCCTAGCCACAAGTCACATTCTAAGTTTTCACCCATTATTTTCCTACATTCTCCAATCTGTTTTATTACATTCTGTGCAATCTGTAGCCTGAGGTCTAGAGACCACTGGTGGTATGGAAAATGTGTCTTATTCACCTCTCTGGGACGCAGTATGCATCACCTATAACTTCAAGGAAGAGAGGTTTATTTTGGCCCATGGGTACAGTCCATGGTCAAATGGTTCCAAGGGAGAACAGCATGGCAGAGAAACATCACAGAGGAAAGCTGCTCACATCTTGGCCCCAGGAAGCAGAGAGAAAGGGAGGACAGATATAGCCTTGCAGATGACCCGCCTCTAACCAGGCTCCACCTCTCAGTGGCACACACAACCACTGAACTCACCAGTGGAAGAATCCACACAGGGGTACAGCACCCCTATGACACAGTCACTTTCCGAAAGTCTCATCTCTGAACACATGAGGCTTTGGGGGGATGCTCCCGATGTAAGCCCTAACAGATTCCTACCACACCCCAAAGCTCCTACTCTATTTCTGATCTCTATTTGCCTTTCTTTTCTGGGTCTTTCTAATCTGAGAGATAGGAGCAGTTTAAATGAAATGAAGACTGATACTGATGTGATTAGCTTATCTTAAAAAACTCTAATTGTCTTCAAATTTGCTCAAGAAAAGTCCATCTGTCACTGATAAGTACAATTTAAATACAAATTTTCATGAGACTATTCAAAATATAAGGTCTAGCAGAAATTTTACTGGTATATATTCCCATCCCGCTTGGTGGTTTTAATATTGATATTTTGGATTCAACATTTTGATGCAGACATTTGATGTACAAATCCTAGCCTCCTGCTGGAACTGTCAGAAATGGGTGATTTTCGGTCCTATTTCTGCTACGCTTTTTGATCAATTCACAAAGTTGTGTGGATACAAGCACCTCACCTGGCAACCATTAAAAAAAGAACAGAAAAAGAAAAGAAAGTCATTTTTTATTCGTATTCTTCCAGACAGAAAAACAGCTAACTGAAATTGTCAGAATACAGTATACATTTCCCCCCCAAAGAGTCACAATAAAGCTCTTTTTATTTGGAATAAAAAGAAAATGCAGCCCTTCAGCATGCATGAAATGTTTCTTGCACAAAAAGAGTTGCTCACCATTGTCCTATCTTTTTTTATTTTTTTGTCAGTTCCCCAAAAAGGGAAGCTCCTCATTTACACTGAATTTGGCAAGATGTGCGTGCAGCCCAATGAGATCTGCGTCATTCAGGTTGGTAATGTGCCCCCTCTCTCCCTGCCTCTCCCTAATTTGGGAGCAATCAGATGTTTCAGCTGCTGCTATTTCCAACTCTAAAATGTCTCTGTCATGTCTAGGCAATGGGGAGGACTTTGAGCTACACAGAAGGCTTTGTGAGCAGAAGTGCAAGCAGGCTTAAGTGCCTACTTTTGGTTTAATATAGCATGCAATCCAAAGCAAAAAGCACTTGTCATTTCATTTTCCTAAATGTTCATAGCTGTTCTGGAGAGACTCTGTTGGAGGTAGGAGACCATGACATGTTTTTGTTTTGATTCAAATGTGGTTAAATCAGGAACACTATTGTCTGTGGGCCTGATAGGAAATTTGACTTGGGTCATGACTATGATTAGGAGCCAAGTTTTTCTTCTAACTGATATTTGATCTGGGAATCTCCCAAAGATAGCTCAACAAACTATAGCTTTAATTTTGTAGGTGGAACTGGCTGCTGGGACAACTTCCTTGTAATTTCAGGTGTGATTTTGAAAAGCACAACTGTGTCTCTGTCCATTCCAGAGAGGAATGCGGTTCAGCATAGATGTCTTTGAGGAGACCAGGGGCTATATCCTAGAGGTCTATGGAGTCCACTTCGAGTTACCTGACCTGGGACCCATTGGTAAGCCTTCACTATAAGCCTCTAAGCTTCATTTGAGATACAGAACACAGATAATTGCATGAAAGCTAAACATACTTCTCCTCTCACTGTCTCAAATTTCAGCTTTCCTATCCAGATAACTTCTCTAGACCAAGTGTCTTCCTAACTGCAGGCATAATCGAAAATGACTCAAGGCAACCCATTATAAATTTCTCTCTAGAATAATACATTAGAAAAACAGTGTGACAGGTTCTGTATGCAGTGTACACCGCAAAAGATATGTAAGTTTGGTTTCCTATCACCAGGGCCATCGAGAACACCTTCACAGAAGAGATAAGATTTGAGTAGTTCTTGATGAAAAGTTGAGGAGATGTAAAAAGGAAAGGCCATACACGCAAAGGCATACAAGTGGGGATGGAGCCTGTGAATAATCCTTTTTTAAGTCAGTAGGGTCTATGTAAGTGTGGAGAGCCATCAAAATGGCCCCGATGGAAAGGGGTAGTAGACACTGATGACATGCACTTTGTGGACCTCACATTCCTACTAGCACATTCTCCCAAATCCACAAACTTAACAGTAAAGAGGTAGACCACTCAGTGCCATGAAGTAGCTACAAGCAACGGCCCCCATGAGTCAGAATAAACTTCCAAAAGTGAGCCAAGGTCCCCTGGTCCCCGTATTTGGAGGCAGGAAGTGTAGGAAAAAGTGGAGGTGTTAGGAAGAGTTGCTCTCACAACCTCCCGTGGAGTAAAAGGAAAGCTGAGGAAATTGGCCCTTGATTTCATCTTTGGCCATACCTCCCAGTTCTCTCCTCCCTGTCAACAGCTTTTCAGAGCAAAACAGGGACAGCCAGCATGTGCCTTCTGGTCACTCCCTTGGGGGATCCAAATATTCAGAAGAAGGTGGGAGGCGGCAGAGAGGCAGCTGGAGCCCTGGTGGGCCTTCTGTCATCCTGCTCACCACCCACTCTTCCCGCTTTGGTCTGGCTTCCTGCTGCTCCCCAGGCAGCAGCGGCGCTGGGTTCCACAGAACGTGTACCCTCTGGAAAATATATATAATTTACTAACCAGCTGGGGGCTTATTTTTTTTAACCCCAGGAACTGGAAATGCTAAAATACTCCCCAAGTCTGTCCTCTCAGAGTTAAATTATGTTTTTGCACTTATGCTTTTCATATTTGGTCTTTGGATTTATTTTCTTTCTCTAGAGGAATCACTCCCTTCTAAGCAGGGCTGAGCAGGAAAGCCCTGAATACTTCTTTCTCCCTGAATGGCAGGCAGAATTTTCAGGAAGGAGAGTTTCACAGACCTGGATTCTGAGGTCTGTCTAAGGAGCAGTAGCCTGCTTTGGACAGCAGTATATAGCCCTTCCTGTAGTTGAGATCTACAGTACTTAGGTCTTCTTGGAAAAACAAAGGTCTAATATTCTGCCAGATCTTCCCTTTTCCTCTTTTCTGTTTCCTTCTGTTCTGTCAACTATAATGATGAAATAATGCATGTAAAATGGCTTTGTCACTCTACAAATTGAAGAGATGATATTGATAATGATACTGATGAGTTTTGTGAATTTTTTTCCAACCAAATTCCTTGGATCCTCCTAAAAACATACTAGACAAGATACCCAGTAAGTCTTGGAGTAATGAAAGCAATTTGTGGAGTATTTTGTTGTTGCTGCTGGTTTTTGTTTTTGTCTTTTGACACAGGGTCTCACTATATACTTCAGGCTGGCCTTGAATTTGCTATTACTGTGTTCTAGGAGCTAATGGCTTGGCCAATCCTCGTGATTTCTTGATACCCGTTGCCTGGTATGAAGATCGTCAAGTACCAGGTGGTTACACTGTGATTAATAAATACCAGGGCAAGCTGTTTGCTGCCAAACAGGTAAAGCAAGAGGTTTGAGAGCCGGGGAGGGAATGAGCAACTCCTGATGGCCAAGACCAGTGTTAAGTACTTCACACACATCCTTTCGTAGTCATTCATGAAAACAGACCAGGTAGGGATAATGTACCACTGTCTCAGCAAGTGGCGGAGCCAACATGCAACCCACATCTAACTCAAAAGGTTGTGCTATTTCTATTCACCAAGCATTGAAAACCTTGCAAGACACAGGTCTCTATAAATGATGAGAGAAAGTAAAGTACAGGTAGTGTAATTTGTTCTAAAAAAGAATATGAATTAACAAAAAGATCAATCAAGATTTATATTTCCCAATGGCCACCCTGTTTTAAATACAAGTCATGCTTGATACAAAGCAAGTAGAACTCAGTTAATCAGCTTGTCTTGGTTCATACCACCAGCCTGATAATCTCAGGACATAAGCAAAGGCATAGATAACAATAATTTTTTTTTCTGGGCCCAGGAATCGAACTCACGACCTTGCACTTGCCAGGCAGGCACTGTGCCGCTGAGCTAAATCCCCAGCCCAACAATAATTTTTAAATGATAGCATAATATATGATATATAATATGATATATTAATATACATTATTATTTAATATATTGAGCATATGTTAGAATGAATTAATCATAAGCTAAAAAGAATCCAACGATCGCTTCTGTTGCCATTATTGTTTGCTTTATGTTGTCTGTCTGACTTATTGCTTACATTTGCCAAGGCGTGTTATTTCCTTGAACAGCATCTAGAGGTCATGCCAACCAGCAGTGGCTGAACAACTTGGCACGTAAATTAACCACTGAGGCAGACACACTCAGGGTTACAGTTTCTCAAAAGCGGCTGGGGGCCATTTACATCAGAAACTCTCAGAGAGGCCTGTTTAAAATGCAGATCCTTAGATGGTTCTCCAGCCTGGCAAAAATGATAACCTCTGGGGATGAGAGGTGGAAATCTATGTTCATTCAAAACAGGTTGCCCACTTTCTTCCGTATCTACAGCTGTCCGAGAACTATGATCCCATCAGCAGTCAGCAGCAGCTCTAGAATGGTTTCTGCTTCCCACTTGGACCTTGTTATTATCCTCTGTGTGAGCCCCAGAGATCCATTCTTGCTCTGCCATGCTCTGTGCCTGGCACTGTTGGCCTGCATAGACGGTATTGCCTGGGCACCTTACACTGCTGCCTTTGTGGGGAGTTCAAGCCACAAGAAATTAGAGGGCAAGAGAAAAGATGAGTGGGGTTATTTCTTCCCCACTTCCTTCCTATCTGAGACTGTTTTCTGGCAGTAACTGCATTCCCCGCCGTCTGTCCCACTCCCTCCCTGGGCACAGGTGAGTAATCCAGTCGTGTGCTGCAGCCAGCTCATGAAAACTCACACACGCTGATATGCACACTCTTCATAACTGTGTGCTTGACAACCTCACATTAGTAGCTCAAAAGTGATCATGATAAGGGCATTTACACCTCAGAAATCAGCGTATGCTGTACATCAGAGCTTTTTGCTTTCCAAAGAGCTAATTGTCTGTTAACTATTTAGCAGTATACCCCTAGAAATGCCTTCTCTATGTTCTACCTCTTGTGGAGTGCTATAACTTTATTTCCCCCTCTGTTCCTCATGCCTAAGAGTAGCAGTGCCTTCTCAGTCTTGTGAAGCTCAGATACCTCTTCACCTCTAGTCATTCCACTTAACCATAGATCACCTCAATGAGTAGACTATGCATCACAGCTCTTAGAACATTCTGAGTTGGATCTTCTTTCCTAAGTACACCTATAGTGGCCACCTTCTTATAGCAGAACACTGATTCCCCACAACCCCAGGAAGGACCTTAGGCTCACTCTGAATCGCAAATCCTTGGAGCTGGAATTGGTAGAAGTCTTCTCCCCTCTCCTGTACTCACCAACTCAGGCACTTTGTCTGCTGGAATCTTCTATGGGCTGCAAAAACTTGCAGAACTGTCATAGTAAGCGCCTACTGCATCAGGAAACAGGGTAATCCAGGCTGTTTGAAAATTGCTGGCATCCATAGAGTCCCACAGCTATGTTTAAAAAATGTTGAAAAAGCTGTACTTAGTGACTGTGCTATGCTTCTACTGTGCATGTGATAGAAAGCAACTGGAGCTCATGACCTGAAAAAAATAGGGCTGTGGCTAACCCTAGGGAAGGTGGGTGAAGCACCCACAGAATGAATAGGGCTATACTTCTCCCGAAGGATGGTATACTTAGATTTCCAACAATATAAAATAGAGAGTTATACCAGTACATATGGTAGGATCACAGCCACAAAAACATTGATCCTAAGACCCTCCTCTCCTGCTTTGTGTGATTAGGCTGTCTCCCCATTCAATGTTGTGGCTTGGCATGGAAACTACACCCCCTACAAGTACAACCTGGAGAACTTCATGGTCATCAACTCAGTGGCTTTTGACCATGCGGTAAGTCTACCTTGTAGGGGCCCTGGTGGTGGGACAGCCCTTGCATGGGAGAGGTCCACGGTGGACTATGGCATTTGCACATTGAACATTTCCAAGATTTCCCTTGGAAGGCCTATGCATGGTCGTTTGTCCCTTGGTGAAGAAGTACATAACGTAGCTAGTGAGGAAGCCAGTCCAGATATTCAACATCCATCCAGAAACACAATTTAATTCTCTGCAGAGTAGTCACAATAACGCTTAGATGGATAAAAACTTTAAAAGAAAACCCTAACCACCCGCTAATGTTAGTGATGGATTCAGAGGAAGAGAACATTTACGGCTTTGGGGAGGTCTTTGTCTTCACAAATCCCAGGAGTCCACTCTGCTTGCTCTGGTTGCCTACCTGGGTGCCTCTAGTTTGGGGTGTTTGGCACTGACGGAGTGAACATCTCTCTTCTGCAATTACTCATAACGTTCAGTGTTTGAATTCCAACCAAAGAACTTCTAGTGTATGAACTCGGTCATATTTTTTTAGTCAATTAGCAGCCACAAATAGGTCCCTGATCTACACTGCAGGCCCCCAAAGCCCCACATTCTCCACAAAGTGCTAATTTTGAGATCCTGTGGGAAAGTTCATTTTGCAGCCTACTTTATAATAGATTAACTTAACCCACAAGCTGGAGGAATAATTAGGGCAGAAGCCAGAGAATCAGAAACAGGAAGATTACTCTAAGCCATTTGGACTTATCTCTGGGGGGACAAAACTACCTTCCTGAATAACTGCAACTCTTAATAAAACCAAAGGAGGAAAGAAAATCAAAATGCCAAGCCCAAAACAACTTGTAAAAGCATCCTGAGACTCCGGTAAAGCTGTATTTGAGCCTCACTACCATTCCTTAAATAGTTTCAGAGCATTTCCCATGACAGATGAAGAAATGTTAACTCTGCCAGCAAGAAGAGTTGCTTTTTTTATTTCATTAACACAGGTTCAATCTTCTCTGTACAGCTGTTATAGTTACCTTTCGGAAATTCAGATCCAAGCACTCTCCCAGCGCATTAGAAAACCTTTGCAAGCTCCCTGTAGTCTGGGATTAAGTCTGAGCTCTGAAGCGTGTTGATGAATGCTCTTCGCCATCTGGCCCTGGACTCCTTTCCCAGCACCACCCTTTGCCCCTCTCCCTTCTGTCAGTGCACCCTGGGTTTCACCTTATCTCCTCTGCACAAAATCTCTCTGCACTTTGATGTTTCTTCTCTTTTCTGTGATAGAATGCCTTTTTCCTTCTTTTCTTCCTTCCTCCATCCCTCCCTTCCTCCCATCTTCCTTATTTCATCTCTCCTTCCCTTTTATTTCTCCCTCCCTTTTTTTCTGTTCATGTATCAAGACCTAGCTTAAATGACATCCCCCTTTGAAGCCTGCTCTGGTCTTTTCAGATAAAAATTACCACTTTCCTCTCCCCTGACCCCACCGAAGGCTAAATGTCCAGGGAAGTCATCTTCGACGCCCCAGATGCAAACCTGGAATCTGAAATTAAACACGATTGTTGATTTCAGTTAAAGCAAATCTCAGTCTTTCCACTAAAAGTCTAAAGTTTTTTGAAAGCATAATCTTGTCCCTCAAACTACCCCCTCTATACCATCACCGCCAAGACTGGCGGAGTGAAATGGTGTGTTTTAGATGTGAGAGTCAGTCAAGTGTCAGAAACAGGAAAACACTGCTCAGACTTTCTTGCCCCTGCATACCATCTGGATTCCCCCACAGAGAAGCATATCTGCGTCTACCCCAGAACTGTATCCTATTAGGAACTATTTTCCCACCTTACTCCAAGAACCTCTCCTGCCTGAGGCTCTGTTGAAGGCAGCACCACTGCTATCGGAGCCGTGGGGTAGCAGGGTGGGTGTAATGTGGACTCAGCAGGGTGAACAAGCAGCTCAGAATCCTCTTAGCCAGTGTGAATTCATTTTGTTTCAAGCACAGCAAGAGTCAGCTGAGTGATTACTGAAGCCCAGAAGCCCAGACTTCTAAGCTGACCTGTGTCATTTGATCAAAAATTACTGTTACTTGAAAACACCTTCGTGTACAGGTGACGTGTGTGTCCTTGTCCAGTCACCTCCCTTGCAACCTGCCTTCAGTCTCTCCTTGTGCATTCACAGGACCCATCCATTTTCACAGTGTTGACTGCCAAATCTATCCGCCCCGGAGTGGCCATCGCTGACTTCGTCATCTTCCCGCCTCGATGGGGGGTTGCCGCTAAGACCTTCAGGCCTCCTTATTATCACAGTAAGTCTTTTCCCAAGTCACATTTGGAATTCAGGAAGCAGGGCAGTGAGCACTGCACGTCAGGAATAAAGCCCAGATTGTTTCTGGGCACTTTGCTCTGCTCTGAGCTCAAGATCCTGCCCCCTCGGGCCTGATGCTGCTCCCCAGACTTTAGGCGGCTCAAACCTTACACCATCCACAGGGATGGCAGAATGCATAGACTTCGAGCTTAGATCTCTCTTTTTTCTCTAGCCCTGAAGAGAGGTGGAAAGACAAGTACAGTGCTGACAAGAAGTTTATGTACATTGCAGATCTTGCTTTTAAAGGACAGAGAATGGCAGCAACGTTGTTAGTTAATTGTTTGGGGAGCTTTGTTTCCTAAGTCTGGTTCAAGTGCCAGGATGATGTGTCTTCTCCAATTAGTCCAGCAACACACAGCCATTCTTGATCTACAGTAGAGGAGAGATTGTATTCTGGAAGAAGTTCCTACAGAGAACTTATTGCCTAGAACAGGACCTTAGAAACCTACGGTTTTTATTTTACTAATATTATTATGAGTAACAACTAGTGATTATAGGCCAGTTCAAAAGGCACTGTTACAAGTTCTGTAAAAATATTAACTCATTTAATTATTATAACAGCTGAAAGAGATAGGTAATATGATTATACCCCTTTTTATTTACCAGCAGATGAAATTGACTCAGACGAATTAGTTGATTCTCAAGGACTCACAGCTATTTAATGGAAGAGTCACACTGTCTGAAGGCAGAACAGACACTACAGCCACTAACTAATATGGCTAGCATAGTGGCATAGTGCCTGATTCATAATATGCACCTAATATTTATTCAGTAAGTGACTACATCACCAAAAATGAATCAAATAGGTCACAACTATATTTAGTGAGGTTAACATTTTTAATTGCACAATAAATAGGTGAAAACAAAACTTAAAGGTTGGTATATAATTCTGCTACCCAGATGTCATAGTTTGGGGTTTTTGCAAGGGGAACAATATAATGCAGGACACATATTTTATAAGATTATTTTATAATGGTCACCCAAAGAATCATATACAAAGAGTGCAGGAAATCTGTCCACATAGTAAAGACCAAAGAATCCAGCTGAGGGCCTGGATCCCGTGGTAATGTCCTGCATGAGTTCAGCTGAAGACCCAGAGCCCATAACAATGCCTCCTATGAGTTCAGCTGGAGGCCTGGAGCCCATGACAGCGTGTCATGTTTCGCGGATCTGTGTGTAACAGCTCCCAGGCGCCAGGGCTCTCCGGCGTACAACATCACACCGAAGGAGCCATGACGACGTTTGTGAGGTGAGGACTAAAGCCTCAGGATCAAAGAAGGCCACTTCCTGGTTAACTCCCAGCATCCCCTTTTCCAGTGCCACGTCGAGTGTCTTTTAAAAATAATTTATTCTCAAGGCCTATCCCCAGAGAGTTTATTTCCTTGGCTTTGAGGTAGAACCTCAGACTTGCATTTTGAGCCAGCAAGCCAGGGGACTGTGACGCAGAAGTTTTACAGACTTTATATTGAGAAATCGTGACCTTGAGTTTGTCTCATCACCTGGGCAGGGGGTTAGCAAAGCAGAGTGACTTGGACAAGTTGGGCATTGTGCTATTGGCCCTCAAACCACTCTTTCACCTTCGCTTGTACTTTAGCCCACCTGAAACAAATGACCTTGGGAAATGCCCCTCAAACTTTTCAAATGACTCTCAAAGAACATTTGGATAAATTTCAGAAAGCTATGGATGTCCTGAGTTGCTTGGGAAAAAAGGACAGAACCCCAAGTTAAAAGTAGTTTTATCAGAGATATTAAAAATATTGCTTTAGCAATGCTCAAACTTTTGCCACTTTAATGTGACTTTAAAAGCAAAGTGGGAATTTCTGCTGTAGAAATATTGCCTCCAGTCATTTTAATGCACCTTAGTCAATGAGATTCAGCTTTAATCAGAAAGGCAAGGTCTACCCTCCCACTGTCCTTTGAAATATTGTAAGTGATGTAGAAATGTTATTGCCAAACTCCCTGCTACCTAAATTCATATTCAGATCAAAGCTGAATCCTGTCTTGCTTCTTTCTTAAAATTGAGCTGTGAAGGTGACCTGAAGGACACATGCTAGAGTGAGGAGCGTGACAGCAAATTGAAGTCATGGGCAGAACTGTTTTTAAAATACAGATACTTTGTGCTTCCATTTGCTTCTTTTCCTCTCTTTCTGCTTTGTGGAGAAACAAATAAAGATATGATTTTCTGCAGGGGCTGTCACACCCACACTCACTTTGAAGGGCCTGTTTGTTCTGGGACCAGGGTGAGTGTGGCTGCTGAGTGGGTTATGGAAATAGTTTGACACTTGCTTACACTTTATGTATAAGGAAGAAGGGCAGGCATGGACCCATACCAAGTGTTTGACTTTGCAAGACTTTACATCTCTACTCTGCCTGTGGTTTGTTTTCCACATTCTCACAGGACAGGCTATGAGTCCTTTTAAACAATCTCCTATTGCTCTCTGTATCACAGCACTCAGCACAATATCTAATTATTTATGTTACATGGGTGGACAGGCCGATGGGTGGAGTGGGTGGAGATGAATGGAGGGACAGGTAGATGGGTGGATGGAGATGAAAAGGCACTTCAATTTACTGAAGTGTTATATTTCTTTCATTCTTGCTCTAAAGGGTTTGTTATTCTAATAAAGAGCTTTATTTCATTAGAAGCATAACTTTGAAAGATTACCAGCATGATAATTTTTGTCAAATTTTGTGTGACTCCAGAAAGTACAACTAGGACAAATAAATTTAACTTATGGGGAAAAAATTTACATTTAAGATAGAAAATAACTGGCTAACACCCAGAGCTATTCATTAATATGGTAGAAGGTATGCAGGAAAAACCCAGGAGGCAACCTGTCAGGAATGAAACAGAAAAATCCTTCCACAATGAATGGAAATATGGATCATTTCTAATTTTAAGATGTAGGATTCTAGAAGAACCAAAGAATAAGATTATATCTGATGCATACACAGGAGATATTTGTTATGATAAATAGTATTTATAGTCTGTGTTTTACAGAGAGCAAGATTCTGCCACACAGATTATCATTTGATAATGGACCTTAAGGCCAGGTTTCTTCATATTATGTCACCTTTCATCAGTACACACACACACACACACACACACACACACACCACATCAGCTTTCTAGACTGCGAATCAGAAATGCACAGTAATGTCATGTATTATGGGATAATTTAGAGGGTTTCTTTTTTTTTGTACCGGGAATCAAACTCAGGACCTTGTGCCTGCCAGGCAGGCACTTTACAGGGTTAACTTAGGAAGAGGTTCTGATCTGGAAGAGAAGCTGACTTTGATATGGGACTTAAACATTTTGAGGATAGAATTCTTCCTTGTTTATTATTATTTGCATTTTTATTTTTTCTTCTCTAGGCCTTGGTTTTCTTTATGTCTAGCTTAGTTTTTTTCAAATAGTAGATTTTGAAACTTCCCAATCCACATGACCATGGAGTACAGTTTAGCCTACTGAGAATTCTACACCATTTTGTGGTAAATCCATACTCTTTTATTATCAATCTATGTTCTCTACTACTCCTATAAAATTTATCACATTCTCCTATCTTCTTGGCATTCTGTAGAAATAATGCCAGAGGGGAATGGATTTTTTTTTTTTTTTTGTCTTTCTTTCTATAATAAAAACAGTGCTGCTTCCTCCTTCCCAGGGAACTGCATGAGTGAATTCATGGGGCTCATCAGAGGTCACTACGAAGCAAAACAAGGAGGCTTCCTGCCGGGTGGAGCCAGCCTGCACAGTGCCATGACCCCTCATGGCCCTGATGCAGACTGCTTTGAGAAGGCCAGTAAGGCCAAGCTGGAACCAGAGAGGATTGCTGATGGCACCATGGTAAGCAGCATAAATGCCACTCCTCTGTGCTTCATTTTCCCGTCTGTATAATGGGTGTGCTATCCAGCAGATGGTGGTGAGTTAACCCTATGGACTGTTCTAACACTGCTCAGGTGTAAGAGAATACAACTAATTCTATGGGAAGGATCTCACTATATCTATATGCAGCCCTGTGAATATGCCCTGTCTCAGAGTCTTCTGCTTTCAGAAGTAATCCCCTAAGGCTGCAATAGCAGGCCAGCTGCTATTCTTCAACCAGTTTCCAAGCCAACCAGGGTCAGACAGCCTTTGCCTCCCTAGAGTCAGGGCTTATAAGCAGCAATCCTCAGTTGTTTTCTTACTTTCCTTCACTCTGCTTTGGCATGGGATGAAACCAGTGGGATTCAAAACCTGCTTTGTGTTCCTTTGGTGTTGGGCTGTAAACATGGAGGTTGAACACAATTGTAGCTGGCCACGGTACTTGAGTTTATCTTCTCTTTGTATTCTTGGAGCTAGAGTTAAAGGGCCACGAGAAGTAATGTTATGCTAAATCATATGCAAAGTTGCTTTACACTTTAAAATAAATGTCTTCATTTCTGTTTGGTTTCAAATCTGTGACAGAGAACTGCTTGATCCATGCCCTGTTTGTAAACTGGCTAACTTCTGAGCACTAGCTATCCTACCCATGCAGTTTACTTTCAATCCCAATCCCAAAGGTAGAGGTGGTGGAACTTTCTGGAGGAAGATGAGCCAGAGTCCTTTGCATTTTCTTGGCCTGTCCTCTATTTCCCCTTGCAGGGGCCTCTGTGGGGTTTCTACAGGACCCCATATCCCTATGAGACATGGTTTGACAATCTCAGTTAAGCTATTGCCTCTGAAGGCTCTGGGAAATGCACGGGCTACTCCAGGTTTCCCCTCAGTAACCTCTGGTGCCCTAAATTGGCTTCGGGCTGTCAGTGTTCTTGGGGAGCAGTGTCTACAACAGTGCGGCACAGAATAGGGCTGTTTTTGTTAGGAACAAGACTTTCAGTAATATCTAGGGCCTGGTTACAAGTGGGAAAGAGCTCTCCTACTTAGAGGTTTAGGAACATGGGAGACACTGGGTGTATGGAAGTCCAGAATACTTGGAAAGGGAGAGGATTGCTTTTCCTAGACCTAATTTTGGGTCTCCTTTACCATTTTCCATTTTATAATTTAGACCCAGGTCAATCTATGCGCCTATCCTTATCCTCATTTGAAATGATTAACCTGATACAATATTGTCTTCACAGCCCAGCTGGGAGGGGGCTTTTGGTACTCCTGCCAGACAGTGAAGCTCCACAGGAGGAGTCAGAAAAGATAATAGCATAACAGTCATCCTTGTACCTAAATAGTGCTTTATATATCACATAGCACTTCCCTATGATTTCATTCAGTCCTCACATGAAGCCTGTCACAAGAAGTCAAGCAAGAACATGTATTCACATTCATTTAGGCAGAAAGAAACTAATGTATATGAGACATCAAACATCAATGCGAGTGCTCTGGGCTGTGTCACAAGAGTTATGTAATTTTCTTTCCACCTCCGTATATTTTTTAAATTTCCTACTGTAAGCGTATGAAAATTGCAGGGTTTGGTTTTTGTTTTCATTCTTATTTTTTAAAAGCCATGTGGACAGGAAAATGAGTGATTGATGAAACTGAAATATCTAAGATGCACAGAGGACTGTCATGTTGTTGCTGTTGTGGATGAAAACCTCCAGAACACAGTGGTATATCCACCACTCATGCCCTTCTGGGCGATGGCTTTTTAAAGTGTTGCTGCTGTTGCTGTTATTTCCTATTTCCCTCCTCCTCCTTTTGACCATCTCTTGGTCAGAGTCTTGAAAAAGAAAGCTCAAATCTCAGCTCTGCCCTGACTTGCCACCTTCGACAAGCTGTTTCCCAGGCCTGAGTCTAAATTTCACTTGTGAAATAGGGACTGTGCTCTTTCCCACAAGGATACAACCACCATAGTAATGGCTCCTGGGAAGAAGAATATTCTTGGTCCTAACAAATTTAGCTCCATAGTGCTATGAGGACAGTTTAGGGTATAAGCTCCCAGTTCTCCTTGGCAGAAGAAACATGACACACTGAGTAGTTAAAGATCTTGCTCAAGAGCCAAAGCCCAACATTTAGGGTTCCTCTGTTCACCACGTCAGGACACACGATTTATTAGGCCAAGATCTGCCTACCATGTCTTCTTTCGACATCTGTTGAAATCTAATTAAATGTGCTTGATTGTCTACCTCACCCTTCATTTTCACCTCTATCCTCATTTCCAACAGGCATTTATGTTTGAATCTTCCCTAAGTTTGGCTGTCACCAAATGGGGACTCAAGACCTCCTGTTGTTTGGATGAGAACTACTACAAGTGCTGGGAGCCCCTCAAGAGCCACTTCACCCCCAATTCCAGGACTCCGACAGGACCTAATTGAGACCAGGGCATCTCTGCCATAATTGAGAATGGATTTGTCTGGTCTCTTTGAGAATCTCATGTTCTTGGGTACCATAAGGTGGGGAGGCTGGTTAAAATGAGAGCTCACTTTTCACAGTCAAGTAACTCAGAACATTTGTGGGAACATATTTGGAAAGTTCTATGACTATCAGCTTAATTATTCAATAAATACTTTCTGGTGTTCTGTGAATGCGGCAAATGGTCGTAATCAGGTGTTGACGAGGCAGACCTATGGAGGCCACCATTAGTGGGCCAGGTAAGGTCGTGAGATTAGAACAATGGGAGGGCCCTTTCCCCTATGCTTGTCCTGAGGGCCTTTGTTCTAGCAGCCAAGTGCAAGTAACTACCAGAAACTACAATATCAGGAAAAATAGGACAGCATTGGGACCCTGAGCCAAAATGAAGCCAAGGCTAAGCTCTTAGGGATCAATCCAGTCCTGGGGAAGTTCAGGTCAGCAGAGCACAAATCAGCCTGCTGTTGGCCTAAAATAGATGAGTATTCAGAAAAACAGGCAGTCTAATATAAACCCAGCCACCAAAACTAGTACAACCACTATGGAAATCAGTATGAAGAGTCCTTAAAAAACTAAAACTAGAAATTCCATTTGACCCAGCTTCTAAGTATCTTCCCAAAAGAGTTAAAGACATCATATTACAGTGATACATTTGTGCCCATGTTTATAGCAGCACAATTCACAACAGCTAAATCTGGGAAGCAGCCTATATCTCTATCAACAGATGGATAAAGACAATGTGATATTTATACATACTAGAGCACTACCCTGCTATAAGGAAAGATAAACTTTAGTCATCTATAGGAAAATGGATACACCTTGAGACCATAAGGATAAGTGAAATAAATCAGACACACAAGCTTAACTATCACATGGATTTTCTTATATGAGAAACCCAAATTATAAATAAAGAACAGAATAAAATATAGATAATAGGCAGTACAGAGATAGTTCTTTCTCAAAAAGGAAGGGGATTCAGAAGTGGAGGGAGGAAAAAGAGATGAAGAAAAGAATTAAAATGTACTATGTACATGGACCAACTCCATACAAGGAATGTAACTATTATGTACTGCAAATGTAGCAGAAAAATAAAGAAACCCAGCAACCAAAAAGAAAGAATAATTCACTTACTTTGGATCACCAATTGCCCTTGTTTACCCAGGCTTGCACTCATTTTGGCAATGAAAGGTTCGTATCCCAGGAACTCCCCTAGTCCTGGTCACATGGGGACCATTGTCCACTCTACTATTCACTCATTTCTCAGTCAATTTGGCAATCATGGTTGAATCCTTACTACCAGCTCCAGAGCAAGCTACTGGGAAGGAGGGTTGAAAAGAACAGATCAGTATCTCTCCTTAAGAGGGGTTTCTCACCGGCTGGGGAGAACAAGGTAAAAGAGAATCAAGATCCTTCAAGCACAAAGACATAAAAAATGAGGCAGTACAGCGTGGACAGCTGTATGTAACAGCTCCCTTCCTGTGGACTGGAAGCATCCCTCCCAGAGCACTGGGCTATCCAAGACAGGGTGAGTCAGTAGGTTCTCCTGGCGTGAGAAGACACACAAATCAGACAGAAATATGACGAGAAGTAACATTGGCTACTGCTTCTGTTCTGTAGTTTTAAGACATTTCCCCCAGTTTGTTGTCATGGTAGCAATTTTTATACACTGCTACCAAATTTTCATTCAACAATAGGTAATGAGAGACAGCCACCTGCCAGGGCCTAGGAACCAGAATTACTAGATAAGGGCCAGGGATATAGCTCAGTGGCACAAGCGCCTGCCTGGCCAGCACAAGGTACTGGGTTCGATTCCCAGTACCAAAAAAAATAAAAAATAAAAAAAATCAATAAATTTAGAATTGCTAGACAAAATATAGGATATTCAGTTAAATTTGAATTTTAGACAAACCACCTATAAGTTTTAGTGTCTATTCTATTCAATAGTTGAACATCATTGTGCTAAAATTTTATTCATAGTTTATCTGAAACTCAAATGAGAAGCCTATATTTTTATTGGTTAAATTTGGCAAACCTGCTAGGAATATAGAGGTTAAGGAGATAGATTTTTATTCTTTTGGTTTATTAATACATGTTTGCCATACATAAGGTTTGCATTCCTTGTGGAAAGTTGATACAATGTACATAAGACACCCCAATTCCTCTTTTCCATCCCTTATCATCTCTCTCCATCTCTTGGCCTCATCAAGGAGACAGACATTGTCCTTGCTCTTGGAGAGATTGTATTTTTGAGAGGGAGTTAAATGAAATAAATAAGCAAATTAATCACAAACTTTGAAACACACTGAGAAGAAAATAAATAGTGGTTGAGATGGGTCGACACAAGGAATGGGCTGGGCAGGATCTTTCTTCAGTGAGGAAGGTCTTCAGTGAAATGACTTTTAGCCCAACAGACCTAAAGAATGAGACGGGGCAAGTCTTCGGGAAAGTGTGAGAGTGGAGTGGGGTGGGATGGAGGAGGATATTCCAATAAAATGCTGGGGCCTGAAAGAAGAGTGGGTATGGGGATCCCAGGAGGAGGGTATTGCAATAGCCCAGGGAAACAACGACCTCATTTTGAATGAATGAGGCAGCAACAGAGACAGAAGCAGATCCATTCTGAAAGCTTTGGACCAGAACTGGAAAGGACTGGTTGGATAAGGTGTAGGCGGTAAGGGAAAGACATCTTAAGGGCAGAACTGGCATGAGTGCTGGATTTCCGGTAATGGTATTTCATGGTCTTAAGAAAAAGGTGAATGTATGTTTGAGGGCGACAGAAGTTTGTGGGAATTCCATTGTCCCTTAACATCACAGAGTCCTTATTAAAAATCAAATTTCTTAACTATCAAAGCAGTTAATATCTTTAAATAGGCCTTAAGGATGACCACTGCTGTAGAAACTGCCAGCAGGCCCTTGGAATCCCATTAATAATCACCAACAACGGTCAACTGACTACGTTCAGCTGCCGGCACCCACAGTGTTGCCTGAGGACAAACCAGAGCTCAGCAAGTACTATAGATGAAAGGCCCTGGTCATAGGCCTTGGCCATGGACAAATGAGAATTTGTGAATAAACATGGCAGCTCTCTTGCTCCATACTTTGTGTGTTCTGCCCTGGCTCCCTGCCGCTTCCAGAAGGATTAAAGCTCCATGTATTCGTGGTGGCAACTTCTTACTAGTGCAACAATTATTTCCTCCTCCCTTTTCCTCCCACTTTCGCACTTTTGTGGTTCTTCCTTGACTGTTCTCTAAATTCAGAGCAAGACAACCATTAAAACATTGTATTCCCCAATCCCACTTTCCTGTATGAACACACCTAGCCTTATGCTTATGCTCATAGGCCTTCCACTCTGACTCATTCCGGCTCACTCTCTTACTGGTTCAGTGGTAAAGCTTTCCTAGGTCTTCTAGGTTTCCATGCACTTACCCCCTTGTACTTTGTCTCCCTACTCCTGGCAGCAACTGCCCAGCTAAGGGTGATAGTTCACCCAGGCCAGAATGTTCACGCTAATTAAAATAAGAAGACTTATTTTCCCTTAGTTGTGCCTCAGGTCCGCTGGGAAGATGTGTATCATTTCCTTAATACCCTGTTCTCCAAGATACCTTCTTCTACTAGACTCCCCATAAATTTGTTTATTTTCCCATTAGAGAAGTGTGCAGTAACAGCCACCTTTCTCTTCTTCCTTCCTGAGAGATCTCTTTCCCATCCCAGGCTACTAGCAGTGGTTTAGACCAGTGCTTCTCACTGGGAGCCATTGTTCCCTCCCACCCACTGCAAGACATTTGGCAAAGACTAGAACCATCTTGGGTTGTCACAACTGGAGAAGGCACAGAACAGGACAGTCACCCATAACAAAAAAAAACTATCTGGAACCCAGTGTCAACAGGTGCAAGCAGCTTCAGCTGTGCATTGGATCTCGAGGCAACTCCTTGAACTCACAGCACTCGGGTGTCACAGACCAACTACATTAGAAACTAGAGTGGTGCCCAATGAGGAGATCATGTGCAAAACTCCTAACACAAGTGCAGTGCACCAGCAAGGCTGAGACCACTGAGTTAGAACTTTGCATCTGGTAATGAGCTTTGCAACCTTGTTGCCAATCTCAGATCCTGGTCCAGTTTAGGGTTTTCTACAGACTACAGAGGAAGTTTAAAAAAAATATCCCCAACACTCCCCATGCTTCAGTAAACATGGCCTGGCATGATGATGTGGAGTGAGGGATTAGCCAGGAGGAAAAGCAGGCTGCAGACCTTCCATCAGAAAGCACGCGCTCTGCAGGAGCGCCCAGCTGGGGCACAGGGAGAAGTGGTGATGGACAGAGGGAAGGGAACACAAGCTAAGGCCCAAAGGTAAACTGTGAATTAAAAGTTTACTCTGGGAGGCTGAGGTGGGAAGATTGCAAGTGTGAGTCCAGCCTGGGCAGTTTAATGACTTAGTGAGACCCTGTCTCAAAAATTTACAAAAAAAAAAAAAAAAAGAAAGAAAGAAAGAAAGAAGGAAAAAGGAGATGCGGCATTATAACTCAATGAAGGCGCTGGGTTCAATCCCTAGTACTGCAAAAGCAAAAAGTTGCCATGCAGCTCCTGTATTATGATTTTCAAGTAATGCAGAGATGGCTTGGTAAGTATATGAAAGAGTTCTTCCTACTGAACCTGAAGGAAATTTTGTTCTTCTGGAAAGATATTTTACTGCTAATATTAAAAAAAAAATAGGCTTAAAGATTTGAGTGCTACTGTTTAAACTTTGTTGTGACATTCAGTGGCCAGCTATCCTTCAATTTGATAAAATTAACTTTATATAACTACATCACAAAATCAGAGATATGGCCAACATTTATGCTTTTATGAAGCAGTGTAGTGTGTGGTTAAGAGCGCAGATGATAGAGCCAGACTGCCTGGGTTCAAATCTAAATTCTGCCATCTGTTGGCTGTGTCACCCTGAGAAAATTACTTAACCTGTCTGAGCCTTGGTTTTTTAGGTATAAAATGATTATGCCTACCTCATAGTATTAGTTAAACTAAGCTGCTTAGACTAATATCTATCTCATTGTATAATAAATAGCTATTATTTGGGGTAGTTTTTTTTTTTTGTATCTAGCTCTTGAAACAGAAATATTAGTTTTTTAAGTGTACCTAGTAGATACTAACATAATAACCAGTATACAGTTCTGCAAGACAAG